GGGAACTTTGAAGTTCTTGAACCGGTTTCAAAGAACTTGAACCGGTTCAAGTTTGCCAGACTTGAATCCTAAAGCTCTGAAGGTTTGAAAACCACTGTTTTGGTAATTTATGAAAATATACCAAGTATGGAACGTGTCCTAACCTTCTTGGATTTCTTCTTAAAGTGTTGTTCTTTCCTTTCTCGTTGATCTCAGTATAGTATCTTTGAACAACTTTCTAATTCCGCAGTCGATCTCGATCCTAATATAGTAACTTGAAATTATAACTCGATTGGACTTGTTTTGCATATGAAGTCTTTTTAAGACATGGCATGCAGAACATACAACTTCAGTTTAAAAATTACTAGGTAAATTATGCTAATGAAGCATCGATCGGACTTGTTTTGCATATGAAATCTTTTTAGGACATGGCATGCAGAACATACAACTTTAGTTTAAAAATTACTAGGTAAATTATGCTAATAAAGCATAGTATGAGTCATACCTGAAATTATCCTTTTTAGCTTCTCAACTACACCATTCTACATATGTGTTTTTAGTGCTAAAAATTCATATTTAATGCCAAGATCATCACAATATCCAATAAACTCCTTAGGTTCAAATTCTCCTCCATTATGGCTTCTAATCTAAGTTAGTTTATATCCTTTCTCATTCTAGATTAATTGACAAATAGAATTGAAATTCACAAAAGCATCCTATTTTGCTTGCAACAAGACAATAAATGTAAATCTAGAATAAACATCAACATCGCAAGCATAAATCTTTTTTCACCAATGCTTTCAGTTCTTAAGGAACCCATCAAATCTAAATGTATCAATTCTAAAGGCCAATAAGTGACTCTATGCTTAAGTCTCCGATACGTAGAGGATGGCTAAATATATTATTGTTTTCTTCATTTGTTACTTTCTTGATTTTGAAAGTATAAACGATTTGTGTATTTATTTTTTAGATCGCATATCTTATGTGTTAGTAGTGATCACATATTCATCGGTGATAAGTAAATATTATTTTAATGTAAAATCTCACAGTTAAATAGTCATCTATCGTAAGTGTCTCTCATACACAAATTAGAAGTTCAGTACCCAAAAAAATAATAATAATAATAATAAAAAATGAAAGTATAAACGACTTGTGTATTTATTATTAGATCGCATATCTTAAGTGTTAGTAGAGATCACATATTCATCGATGGTAAGTAAATATTATTTTAATGTAAAATCTCATGTATGAAAAGACAGGGTTCAGAAGGATATAGCTGAAGTTGAGGAGGTGGCTACTCGTCTGAAAGGAGATCTCAAACTCTACTGTGTTTTTAGAACGTGTAATGTTGTTGATCAGAAATTTTATAAATGTTCAATAGGGACACTGATGATAACTTTACTGTGATTAGATGATGTGTTTCCCTGGGATTGTTTATGGGGAGGATTTATGGCCATCTTTTGTTCACATTGTTGATGCATGCATGCCTTAAAGAAACTTGTATTTTTAGATTTATAGTATGATGGGTTGGATGCAATTAAAAGTTTTCAACACCACACTTGTCCACATGGTGTGATATAGATGAAAATGCCTTGTTTTATTGTGCATGTGACAATCCAAACAATGTAGGTTCAAATATTTTAAATAGAAGTAATAGTAAAAAAAAAAAAAAAAAAAATGTTTGAAGGAATCACTTATGCATGTTGTGATATGGAAGAAAATGCATTTTTCTCCCTATTTATATGCCAGCAGCAATCATGCATGGCCGATCCAACTCTCTATCTCTCTCTCTATAACACACACATAATCAGTATCATCATTTGAGCTCTGAAGAAATGAAAATTTTCCAATTCTTCAATTCTTTCTCTCAACTTTCAAATAGGAATATAATGAATTACAAACTGTTCTAATTTTAAGTTTGAACTTCATTTCATTAATGTAAATCTGATTTATACTAATATACACACTTCTGTTTTCCAATTTTTGTTGGTTGTTGAATTACATTTTTACAAATTTATAATATTATTTATATAATTTAATATTATTATAAATATTATTTATATAATTTAAATAATACAATATAATTTATATAATTTAATATTATTTATATAATATTATTTATATAATTAATTAAATAATAAAATACAAGAATACAAACTGTCATTGCCAAAAAAATATTTGCACAATACTAACGTTATCAAGTATGTTTTTTATGGCATGTTTCCAATATTTTCACAATACTGACGTTACCAAACATGTTTTTACGTTTTGTCTTTCAAAAAATGGACGTTACCAAACATGATTTCATGTTTTCGATTCCGAATTTCAACACGTTACCAAACATATTTTTATGTTTTTGCTTTCTAAAATCTTACAACAAATAGACTTACCAAACAAGTTTCTATTTACAATACTCTAAAAGCAAAAGTATTACTTCTGCTTCAGGTCAAAGTAAAAGTATAAAATAACTTAGTTGCCAAACGAGTCTCAAGTATCAATAATGATCACATATTCATAGGTGGGTAAGTAAATATTATTTTAATGTAAAATCTCACAGATAAATAGTCATCTATTATCAGAGTCTCTCACACACAAATTAGAAGTTCAGTAACCAAAAACCAAAACAGGAAAAAAGGCTATGTATCACCTTTTTCTTTGGATCAACTGCATCGATTAATGGATCAAAGATGATCAGCATCCATTGTTGGGCTTCATACATACAGATAATCACCAGACTCCAAAGTCCAAAGCAAACTATGCAATATAGGCATTGGCATGAAAATCATGCAAAGAAAAACAATGATATTGGTAAAAGACAAAAACTAACGCAGATATAAACATTACTAATGCAACATTAAAATTTAGACGTACTTTTCTGTCACCGACAGTACGACATATTTAGTGGAACTGCAGATAAATCAGTTGAAGGAGACTTGTGCCTTTTTTTTTACTTTTACTTTTTAAACAGTAGTCACGAGTTGGCATTGGCTGAGAGCTAGCCTCAACAGTACTGCTGTCTATTGTAATGTAATGATTCCACTATTTTTAATGTCCATTTGGAAGTACTTTACTTTTTGTTTAAATGTTCTGAGCATGTGGTCAAGCTCTTTGGGCTCACTCTAGTTTGATTGAATCTTCAATAATACTCAGTGTGTGTGTGTGTGTATATAGTAGTATAAAAAGTGTATATATGTGTTTCATTACACAAAAGAAAAAATTTAAATGAAAGAGAAAAAATAATAAATGGATGAGGCATTCTTATAGAAAATGTTTTTTTTTTATTTTTATTTTTTTTTTTATTTTTTAATCTCACAATTTACCATGTTGTTTAGGAGAGAGAATGGGAGAGTTTAAAAATATTTTTAGCATTATACCCATCATATCAACAATATTATAATTTAAAGAGGATAACATTGTAATTGAAAACTTATATAATTTAAGATAATATTATAATTGAAAACTAATATAATATTACCATTTGTCTTTTCTCATAATTTTCCTTCATATTTGAATGATTAAAACTTTATAAAAGAAGAAGTATGACTCATCCATCGTATTATCCTCCACCCCTCTCCATTCATTTATACCAAACAAAGTAACAGAGAAAGAGGGAAGGAAATAATGAAAAATTACAGAGTATTACATTTCCCTGGAATTACTTGGCCCAAACAAAAAATTAAAAATAATTGAAACATTTATTTCCACATGGCTACTTATGATTGGTGGAGACATATAATCTCGTGCTCTACAATTTAAAACTTCTATAATAGTCTACTTTTCTTCTTCCTTCTCTTCTGCTCATTTTTGGACAGATGAATATTTGTAAAAAAAAAAAAATGATAGATCCCTCCTATTATCTTTATTTTTTTCCTTATATCATCTCTACCGAATAAAAAAAATTTGTTCATTCCTTACTATTTTCTTTCCACACATCTTCTTACTTTTCTACCTAACAAAGCTTAATTTTTTTGAAAAAGTAGCCATATATATAGGGTGATGGGGGAGGTATAGGGTGAAAATTTGTAAATATGAATAGATGACACATGCTTCCTATTATACTTTTTTTTTTTTCTTTTTTTTCTTTTTTGGGGGTCTCATCTCTACCATCAAGAAAATTTGTTCCTGGCCCACCCCCAACCCCCCCCCCCCCCCCCCAAAAAAAAAATTTGAAAATATTACCAATACGCCCTAAATGTTAATTGTTTTGTAAATAGTGTTCCTAAATTTTATTAAAAATTTCAATTGGCCCACCAATTTTTTCAAAACAATTATATATTGATGCAAAATAGAGAGTTGGAAAATAAATTTAGTATGTGTCTCCTTGAAATTTAAGAAATTTTCAACTTGGACCCTTTTAATTATACTTCTAAGCTCGAAAATTGAGAAACAAAATTAAATTTAAGCTCATTATTGTTGTAGCCGTTTTTGCAACACATTGTTACTTTATTTACATATAAATACTTACAATATCTATAATATTAATTCAAGAGAAATAAAGGATAAAATTAGTAATGTTCCCTCATGTTTAATAAAAATGCATGAACCATTTTTTGTCAAACTTTTTTGCAAAATGGTATTTACGAGAAAAATATCTACAATTATATAACAATCTTTATTGGCATCTTGTTTAATTTAAAATTCTTTTGTTTAGTTAAAATTTATTATTATTTTTAATCTTTTATCTAGGTATATCTTTCCCAAGTGCAATCAAAGTTCTCAAATCTCTTCTTCCAAAAATTAGACTTTTGAAAATTTAATGAAGGAAAATTAATTCTCTAATAATGCTTATTTCTTTAACTCTTCTTTTTAATTGTAACTCATTGTTTTTTCTTTATATTCTTTTTTCTAATATCAATTTTTCATCTACTATTATATATGTCTTATTTTTGAATTTTCTCGAAGTATATATACTATAACTAGTATTTAAACAAAATTATATTATAATTGATTTATAATTTTTTTTAACTTCAGTTACATGGTACAAATCCGATCCCTCCAACCTAAATTTTTTGGCTGCTGGTTTCTTTCTTTCTATTTCCTTTCACACTTCTTCTTCTTTTCCTTGTTTTTTTTTTGTTTTTTTAACCGAACAAAGTTTAATTTAATACAATTCGAAGTCCTATTGATGTTGAAATCGAAAGTACACACACTTTATTGAACACTGAAATAGAATCTTTTTTTTTTTTTTTTTGAATGGTCACTGAAATAGAATCTTCATAAACTATATATTCACAACTATATATATACACAAAAGGCTATACATATTACAGCCAGGAATTGACCAAACATCTAACCTCGAACCACAACACACACTCTCTCTCTCTTACACAAAAGGCTATACAGCCAGGAACCAAACATCTAACCTACAACACAACACACACACACACACACTCTCTCTCTCTAGTTTTAGTTTGCGTTAAGCCCATGGAAGGAGGTCATGGATACAAAAAAGGGCTGTGGTCAGAAGAAGAAGATAGAATTCTCATGGAGTACGTAAGAGTGCATGGAAAAGGAAAGTGGAATTCTGTTGCCAAAATGACAGGTTAGTTTGGACTTCTTATCTATAAAAAGTCTGCATGCAACTGGGATTGTGTATATATATATATATATATAATTTATGTGAGTTTTGCTAATTTCTTGTTTAATTTTGTGAACTTTATATGTGTGTGTATATATATGTGTATGTATAGGTTTGAAGAGGGGTGGGAAGAGTTGCAGGTTAAGGTGGATGAATTATCTAAGTCCTACTGTAAACCGCGGGGATTTTTCAGAGCAAGAAAATGACCTCATCATTCGCCTTCATAATCTCCTAGGAAACAGGTTATGTATATAATTATATATCTATCTTCTTTTTCATTTATACATATTGGTCTTAACCAAAATGATCAGTGTATATATATATATATATCCCAATCATTTTCATAGAATTTTTCCTTTTTTAAAAAACAATTTTATAATTGTTATTCCTTGTACAGAAAGCATAAAATTTATCAAATTATATAATGGCATATTAGAATTACAGAATCCTAACTAAACTGAACTGTCAATTCCTGAGATTGGTAGGAATCATGGTTTTTTTTTTTTTTTTAGCAATCATGTTGTGATCTATAGGAGAAAACTATTTTCAACTACATATTTTGTTGACTCAATCACAAACATTTCGTATAATTCAATTAATATTAGGAGAAAACTATTTTCAACTACATATTTTGTTGACTCAAACACTAACATTTCGTATAATTCAATTAATAGTACAAGTTCTAATAGTGTACCAGTTTTTGGTGCGCCATTAGTCCTATTTTTTATTTATTTTTTTTATTTATTTTTTTTTTTTCCGGCAATTGCGCCATTAGTCCTATTGCTCAGACATAGTGCATATTATTTTCTATTCAAACAACTAAATTTGGCAAATCCATATCTTAAATATGAAGGTGGTCTTTAATTGCTGGGCGCGTGCCAGGGCGAACTGACAATCAAGTGAAGAACCACTGGAACACCCATTTGAGCAAGACGCTCGGGGTGAAGAAGACGAAAACCAAGGTTAGAGTTTCTTCACGAGCAACCTCAAAAATAGGGAACAAGTATAGTGTTCCCATTGAAGTCACAAATTCTAAGTCACGTTGTGACGATAATGGCAGAGTTGATCAAGATCAAAATGTCATTGAAGGTGGCTCTGAGAGCGCGGTTAGGTTCTGTGACGTAGAAGAACCAAAGATTAATAATGGAGATTATAATGAGAGTTCTTTGTGGTTTTCTAGTGATGATTATAGTCTAAACACCCCTAGCTTGACGGAACTCTTTGACCAGTGTACTCCTGATTTTGTTTGGCATGGCTTGTAAACTTAATTAGTTTTGGAGTTCAAAAATATAAATAAAAGAACTTGCCAATGTAATTTTTTTTTCCCCCTTCTTACCTGTTTTATATAATTAATCTCCACAAATTGGTGCATATATTATTTCTTTGCTTACAAAAATCACTCAAAAGGAAAGGTTCAAAACCTTTGAAGAATTTGAGATTGCACTGTGGAGCACTTTATTTATTTGCATTTAAGGGGAATTAAATCTTAAACATGATATTTTTTGAGACATTAGGACCAAGTGACTTACCCAAGGCCAAGGGCAGAGCCACAGGTGGGCTAGGGGCCATGGCCCCCTATAGTCCTTACCTAAGAATATATACTAATACTTTTAATGTCACTTGTTAAGTGACAATTTGTATGGCTATTTCTTCTATAAGTTACTAAAGCAATAATTTTATTTTTTTAAAACTTATAAAAAAATTATTTTGTTAAATTTATTTTGTTTCTTAATCTTTAATCAATGTAATAACAATATATATTTTTTAGAGCATAATCAAAGAACTCAAAACATTTTTCCAAAAATTGGATTTTTGAAAAAGTAAAACAAGGGTATGAGGTTTGGACTAATTATAATTAAACCTAAGGTTTGCCTATTTTTGCAAAGACTTCCCAAACAGTCTTTTTGTCAGGAAAATTAGTTAAAGTGACCAAAATACCCCTCAATTAGGTCTAAAAGACCGTATTACCCTTAAATTGTCATGAAATAACAAAATAAGCAAGCATTAGTAGACCAAAATATCCCTTATTAGTAATTGAGTGACCAAAATACCCCTTAAATTGTACATCAATATTGTCACTAGTTTACTTCATAACAAAATAACCATGCGTTGGTAGACCAAAATACCCCTTACTAGTAAATGAGTGACAATATTATTGTACTGTGTGTCCCTCCATCCATCACCGTCTCTGACAACAATGCTTTTGGGGATTTTCTATGGCTTTGATGCTATGTGGGTTTGTTACGTTCTTTGATTGGGTTCCCGGTTCGAGAAAATAGTTGGAAATGGGGTATTTGAAGATGGGTAATAGAGAGATAGTGGTAGTTGGTTGGCGGTGGCAGTGGTCGGCAAGGTCGATGGCTCCCTCGTCAGTGCCGTAACTCTTCATCATCTGAGCACGTAACTCGAGCTCCTCTGCACCTCAGAGGGTCATGTTTGAAAGTAAGGAGACCCAACTCCATCAACATGTTCAAGACAGACCCACTCCACCACCGGAATCAATGGAGCTCACTGGAAAGCAGGTCGGATTGAGACGTCGTTAAAGTCCGTCACCACCACCTATACCGCCTACTACAAACAGCCCTATAACCCACCCAAAACCTCCATTTTCACCGTCCACAATACCACCTCATCACTCTTGCCAAAAATTCAGACACCACCATTCACACTCAAATCCGAAATCTCACAAACCATCCTTACACCCTATACCAAACTACGAACCAAATATCCAAACCCGAGTTGCACAAACCAGTCGCCAAATCCATACCCAATCAAGCTACAATGAATAGTCTCACCGGAATTGTGAGTCCTTACTTGCCGATCAGAAGCTTGCGCACCGATTAGAACCTTGCTCACTATTCAGTCACGTCGTTAATAGATCATCATCGTTGCTATCTCTTACTGTCGTCGCCGCCGGAATCCATTGTCACCATCCTTAGTTTCTCATCGTTGATGTTGAGTTTCCTGTGGTCGCCGTTAGGAGTTTCCTGTGGTCGTCGCTGTGGTCTGTTACAGTGCAAAATCGTTTGGGATAGGATATATAAACATGAAGCTCGTCGCGACGTTTGGACTGCCGTCAATTTCATTGCGGGCAGTGGTGACGGTTGTGTTGCAGAGAGAGGTGAGAGAGAGACTTGAAATCAAAGGCGTGATTTCGATTGCCGTGGTGAACGAGGCGGTAGTCACAAGGTTGATGCAGAGACGGAGATAGGAGAGAAGGAGATGAATAGTGGGAAAAGAGAAAAAAAAAATGAAAATTATTGTTTGGGCAAATAATAGTGGGCAAAATGATCATTTTATATTCTTAGATATTTTGTTATTTTTAGTAATATAATAATGAAGATACATAAGAAAATTCATAACCAAATCTACACGGCCAAGTCTTTACAACAAAATGACAAACATTAAATTTAGTTACAATTAATCCAAATACCGTGAAGGTCTTTATAATTTATCCTTAAAACATTCTCTGAAAAAAAATTGATTTAGGTAGTAACATTTTTTTTTTTTTGGATTTTTTAAGATATATGTCCTATGACTATATGATAAACAAAATAAAAATACAATTGGTTTTAAAATATTCAAAATTAATTACATAATACAACTTCGGCCCCAATCTAAAATTTCTGACCCCTTAGAGTTACTTTGCACCACTTTAATGTAGAGTCACAAAGTTTTTGACACATACGCAAGCTTTTAGTGTTTTTTTCCTTTCGTTTTCTGGTATGTCAACTGTAGTAGGTTATATGGCATTACGATGGTGCTTAGAGCTCTTTATAACAGTGCAGATAATGATTCTTCACGTGTGAATATATTGTGCAAAAAAAAAAAAAAAACAAATAAACAGAGAGAGAGAGAGATTTTGAATATATAAATGTTTTCTTCTTGGTTTTTCCTTCTTTTTTTTTAAATTGCATGAACCCACTGCCCATTAAAGCTTAGGTGTAATATGATATATATACCAATAATTTCTAACAAATATGAGGCGAAATCCATAAACTATTATCAAGAAAACTTAGTGCAGGATGATAAATGTTATGACAAATTCAGCGAATCAAACAATGATTATGAAACACGATAGAAAAATAAACACACTATACAAAGAATATAGACTTGTATATGATTTAGCAAAGCCTACGTCCATGATAGAGATCCGGCGAAAGTCTGGTAGAGATTCGGCGAAAGTTTTCATTATGGGCAAAATCAAATATTATAAGTTTCAGCCCCCCCTCTCTCTCTCTCTTTATAATTTTCAGTGTCTCTTCATCATTATACTCCAAACCCTAAGCATCCTTAGGATTTATGTATCGGGTTACAAGAGAATACTAATTAGGACTCACACAAAACTCATTTAACGAGTTGTCGGTTCGCAACACGACTCGGCACCAAATTTGGGTTACAAAAAAAAAAAAAAAAAAAAAAATCATACATACTGTAAAACAATTTATGCATGCAAGATGATAAATGCACCCTTTTTTTTTTTCTTTTTTTTTAATGAATGCACTTCACTTTTAATGTGAATTATCATTATTATCCTTGATTCAGTAGTGATCGGAATATAATATAGGGACATTTACGTTATTTAGTAAAAGGACAAAAAAAAAGAAAAAGAAAGAAAGAACTGTGAAAAATAGAGCAAATTTATCATTTCCCTTTACTTATAAAATTGTATGTATATATATATATATATATAAACTCGGAACTTACTTATGCAAATGTTTGGCTTAATAGTACATACCTGCTGATCATTGAAGTGTTGAATTTTAGGTCCAAGTTGCAACTATTATTGAGGGCACTAAATCATTCACGTGAAGAGGCAAAATGGGGCATAATATGTTCAGCTTTTTCCCTATTTCTTTAGTCCTACAAGACTATACCGCCCAGATGGGCTCTAGACTTTCTAGTCCTTGAATGGCTTTTCATTTTTGTCCCACAAACATAAAATCATTAACCCTTTGAATGATAGAGGTACGTTTTTTTCTCACATATGTCCAATTTCCAAACAAAAAAAAAAAAAAAAAAAAAGGGGGGGAAAAACTCGACACTAGGAATGGAGAGGAAAAAGAAAAAGGTGCTTTGGTCCTTCCTTTTAGACACACTTTGTCCTGGAGTCTTTGTAACCCTCTCCCCAAGCAGAATTCGATAGATTACAAAAGCCTTCAAAATACAACTTTAGCGTCATCTATGCATACGTTCACATAAAGACGATGAAGACTTAAATAGTATATTTTATGTTGCGCAAAAACTAATATAGACTATTGAAACATAGAATGTAGAGTATTTGGGTTACAAAAACTCGTATAAACCTGGAGTTCTATGCGGTCATCTTTGTTAGTGGAAATGTCTAACATGACCTCGATTATGAAAATGTACTTTAACTAAAATAAATTTCTTGACTGATAATGAGAAAAAGGTATCTAACCAAATTTAAAACCTAATTGCAGAGAAGTGAATATTCAGATTTATTTCCTAAATTACCCTTCTACACATTGGACACTTTCACACTTCTCTCTTACAACATGGACAGCCTCACTGGCCACGATCCTTCCTGCAAATACACCGATGACCTGCAACGCTCTTTTCTAGGAAATCCCAGTTCTTTTTATTTTTTTTCAACATAAAATTTTAGAGAATTACTATTCCTCAATCAATAGAAATTTTCATTGCTCCGAAAACCAAACAAACCAATCATTCATGTTCTAAGGCCATCTGCAGCGGGCTAGCTGTAGCCCAATTACAGCGAGCAAAAACACTATAAGCCCTCTAGCAGGCTAGCTAAAACAAATGGGGACCATTAACGATCGCAGGCCAGCTCGCGGTAATCAGCGGGCCAGCCCGTGATCGCTGTAATTTTTTTTTTTTTTTTGTTTTTTCTTGCTTCAAAACAACGCCGTTGTCTTATTATCCCACTTATGCACAGGCACTGTTTGGCAGAATTTTTTTTTTTTTTTTTAAACCTAAAAATAGTTTATTTTTAGCTCCTTTTAGGAAAAAAAAAAAGTTAAAATAAAATTCATTAAATAAAAAATATATTGTTTAGGCACTATTTATCGAAAAAAAAATTATTTGGGCCAAAAATAAATTCAAAGTTTTTTTTCCTTAAAATTTGTTTTTATTTGTTATTTGTTATTTTTTGCTTTAAATTGTAATCCTTGTTTTCTTATTCCAATTCATTATTTTTAATCCTTATTTTGTAATCCTTAAAAAAAAAATTATTTGGGCCAAAAATAAATTCAAAAAGCTTTTGTTTTTTTTTTTTTTTTGCTTTAAATT